CTAGAAGGCCCCAAGGTAAGTGATGGAACCTAGAGAGTTCCTGCCAGCAGGATGAAGGCTCTGTGCTAGCAGGGTGAGGGATCTGAGCTGGAGCCAGGAAGCGACGCTCGAGGTAAGCACCAGAGCTCGCCAAGAAGCACTACCATCCTCAGTGAGGATGAGGTCCCGAGCTCCTCTGACAAGAACAGGAAGGCCAGCACGACGAGATCCTCCAGCTGATTAGCCCAAGAGAACCAGCAGCTTCCAACAGCTTCCCTGCCAGCCTCTCCACAGCCTCTCCAGTTCTGCCTCTAGGCTGCTGGCAATAGCCCTCAGGTGGGCCTCCCACACCCAGCACCACACTGGTTCAGTTCAGCTGGGTGTAACAAGTTGGCTGCCAGTTGACAATCCACTTCAGCCCTTAAATCTGAACCTCTGCACTATATTGAGAAAATAAAAAAGAAAATAAAGACCACCACTTGTCTTCATCCCATCCCCAGTTACTTGCCTGGCTCCCTTCTCCTGGGGCCTCAGAGCCCCCCACAAGTACCTCACTGACAGGTCTTAATAAAAGCACCTCTGTGTGACCATCTTTCCCGCCAGACTGAGAGCCTGCGCTTGTTCCCATCATGCACTGCTTGGTACTCAGAGGCTGAGCCTGTGGGGGTCGGATCTGCTCCTGTGTCCCAGCCCTGTCTCCTTCCACTGTGAGGCAGAGCCAGAAACTCCTCATCATTACATAGAAAACCAGATCACGTGGTCCCCTCTTGCTCCCCACTTCACTTCCATTTGCCTCCCCCATGTGCCCTACATTTAAACAGGCAAAGAACTGCATATTCCTTGTGTAGATTATTATTTCCCTAAATATCTATATGGCTTTCTGTACTTTCCAATCTCTGCTCAAGGGTTGTCATAGTAAATGTACCCTCCTATGATCTGCTTATTTACCACTATCTTCAATATCTGGTCTACTTTGTTTTATTCGTCTCCCTGAGAAAATGAGAAAAAATATTTTATCTACTTATGTATCCCTAGGACCTAATACAATATCTCTCACATAGTTCTTAAATGCTGAGTACATACATAAAAAGTAAATAAATGTTTCTTAGGATGAATATAAAGCTAAAACAGAGGACATCTGTGTTGACTGACAGCTTAGAGCTCTAGATAAATGCATTCCCACCCAACGGTTTAGTTTCTCTAGGAAATGTCAAACTGTGTGACATCATTCCATCTTCCCTTTCTGGAGAAAGGAGGTGCCCAGGAAAGAACGGGGTGCAGAATGGAAGGCAGTGGTGCTCTATTCCCAGTGGTTATCACTAAAAGAGTGAAAGCAAACTTTAGCACAGCCCAACATACAAGCATATAAACCCATACACCAGGTAATCCAGAATTTTCCAAAACCTGGCTGAAACACTTTTACACATTGACATGGAAAATGTTCTCTGATGCTTGTTGTTGTTTATATCTAGGTGTCCCAACACCTCATGGGACCATAGTTGGGGATTTGGGGAGGTGACTGGACTATCGTGGTGTTACATCTGACTTGCTATTAGCAGCTGGGGTCTGGCCAGAGGAGGTGGGTAGCTGTGGGCCATGGCCTGGCGGTTACAGCTCCCTCTCAGCTTCAGCAGCCCATCTACTAAAACTGGAAAGATTTGGAGACACTGGCTGGAGAAGCCCTAGAGTAATCTTAGCTTGACTAAAGATTCAGTTGGAGCTCAAGAGACCAGAATGCTGATAAAAAGGCAGACAGAAAAGACCAAATTCAGAAGGTTTTAGTTGAGAATAAGAACTGCAGTGGTAGCTGGACTCCAGGCCATGTGTTACGCTCTGGCAGAAAATTGATCTACATTTTGATTATGCCTTAAGACTACAAAAGACATAAGGGTGGTAGATTAATTAACCTGGCAGAGAAAATTTCAAGGCAGCCCAACATTTAGGGTGTAACATGAGTACCGCTGGGAACTTTTAGCCAGTTCTGTACTGGGAATCAAGAGCAAGTAGCATAGGTGACTGATTTTAAAGAACTGAGCTATGGCCAGGCCCCCTGATTTTAAATATTTGAGTGTCACCAGAAAGGAAGTGTCTATAAAGCTGGAGCCCACAAAGATGGAACAGAAGAAACCTTGGTTGCTGAAAAGATTAACACGGAAAAGAAGCCAAGTGAGGGTGAGAAGTATCTGTGTAAAGGAGGTGGAAGGGAGATTTTCCTCCAGAGAGCTAACCTAAGGGGTCTCTGGTAAAAGTCATCTTGGGGCTCAGCAGCTATAGGCTCTCTTCAGAGGATTGATCTAGAGGACCCCAGCAAAATGAGTCCAGCACGTTCATCACTAGTTCCATCTGCCTGGCCATTGGAAGTTTGATAGCCTCTAGGCAAGAAAGAAAGAAATCTGGTGCATGGTCTAAAAATGAGACCAGAATGAAAGACAGATTGTGGTAAGAGATGGAGTCAAGGGGATGTCTCCTGCCTGCTCATGGAGGTTAAGTCTATATAGTTGTTATATCTATATCTATCTATCTATCTATCTATCTATCTATCTATCTATATCAGTTCTTCCTCCACCTGATATATTCATTTAAAAGAAAGTTTTATTAATTAGTGTGTATATCTGTCTAGTTTGGGCCATAAAATGATCAAGGTCTTTGAGATTTTGGAGGACTATTTTAGCTAAGGACTTTAAAGACTTTTTTAAAAATGTATTTTAGTATAAGGTCTACAGGGTCACACTACACAGATGTTTTCAGCCTCCCAAGCGCTGGGATTCCAGGCACACGCCACCACTCCCAATCTCAGTTGCCATCTTGGCATGCCCATGGGGCGGGGCCAGCGTGGCACAGCAGGGATCGAACCCTGGACTCCACTGAGCTATCTGGCCGGTCCCAGGACTTTAAATACTCTTGCTGAGTTTCTATAGCAGCCTCTGTGGCATTCTGGCCTCATTGAAACATAACAGTGATAAGCTAGAGGTATAGCTGGAGACTAGCTGTAGCACAAAAAGGAATCGAACCGAATGGAAGATTCTTTGCCCTGAGGAGCTAGAAGGCAGCTTTCATTATGCTAGCAAGCTGCGGGACCCAGAGGTTCAAATCACCAGCCCAGAGTGAGGTGTGAGTTCAGTTTAAATATGGCTTACAAGTGGGAAGTACAACGCTGACAGCAGGTTACTACCTGATTGGTTACATGGAATGTAAGAATTACGTCATCCATTGTCACCCAGGTTTGTACAGGAACATTATGGGAGGGAGGGGGTCTGAGAAGAGCGGGTAGAGTTGAAAGTGTTCTTGGCTAAGCCAGTTTTCCCCCAGACATGAGGTCCTTAAAGGCCTTGAAGCAAGTAGGAATCTGCATATTTTTAAAACACAAGTCAGGGCCAGTGAGATAGCTCAGCGGACTAAAGCATCTGCTTAGGCAAGCATAGGCAAGCACAAGGACCACAATTCGATCCCCAGCACCACAGGCCATGGCAGACCTGCACCCAGGGTGGGCTGAACTGGCCAGAGTCCAGGCGTAGTGGCACACACCTGTAATCCCATTGCTGGGGAGGCTAAAACCAGGAGGATTACCATGAGTCTGAGTTGCATAGTGAGACCCTGTGACAACCAAATAGACACACACACACACACACACACACACACACACACACCCCAGTCAGTTTGACCCACACTTTGCCAAGTGTGAGCATCTGGGCCTAGACCGTGAGGGCTGGCTACACGGCAGGCAGTGTGAGCATAGCCACGGGCTATGAATTGAGTTCCAACTTTTGTTACGATAATGCCTACAAGCCTGCTATTCTACAAGTGGCCCTAACTTCTCTCCCTGCTTTTTTTTTTTTTTTTTCCTGCTTTTGTTACAAAGGACAGCCTTCTGCCTCAGTTTCCCCAGTGTCTTCAGTGCTAAGGAGCCCAGAGGGAGAAGTGGCCTGGAAAAGAAGTTGGCAGTGTGTAGCTACAGAGCGTTTAGTCACAAAGCTGTCAGAATGCAGGTCACATAGGATCCGGGGCGGTTCCCGTACAGCGAGAAAGTCTAGGGGTCCCCACCAGGTGGAGCCCGCCATGGGTGTGCAGCCTGGTGCTGGAGGCCTTTCCACAGCTGCTGGGGGTGCTCTCCCATCTTTCCTGACTTACCAGCGTGATAACGACACTCCTCCTCCAGGGAGAGGCCAGTGCCCCACGCTGGGCAGTCAGGAGCCCTGAGGCTCCTGGATTCTGGAGGATAACTGCAGCTGCCATGTCTATTTGATCCTGCAGACCTACCGAGGTCTGTATGTTGGCAAAATCTCCAGCAATCCGAGCACTGCACGGTGTCCTTGACCTACACCCATAGCTGTAATGCTGAATGTTAAACTCCCCGCTATGGCTAGTTCAGCTACTGCGGACGGTACCACAGGGCCATGCTTCTGTCATGACTGCTGGGCATGGGCAGGCCCTCCTCGTCCTGAGTAGACAGAGAGGTCAGGAACCAGGAGAGCAAGAGCACAAAGCCCTACTTGGGCGCTGCCAGATGCTTGATGCGTCCCAGCAGTGCAAACAAAGGAAGTCCCAAGGGGGGCTGCCAGAGAACCCGAGCGAGAGACAGGCAACGCATGTGCACAGTCTGCAGAAGCGTTTGGGCCTGCGTGGAACCCAGGAAGCATACCATGGGAGGACGGGCGAGGGGGACCTAGAGCTTGATAGGAAAGGACCGAAAGGGGACACACAGCCAACAGTTTTCGCCCACGACTGGGTTTGCAGCCTGGAGGACCTGACGGGTGCTATGAAGCAGGTGCAGGAGGCAGGAGCCAGGGTCCCATTTAGACTGATTAGGGTTATGACGGGGCTCATACCCTAACTTTGAATTTGGAATTTCCAGTGTCCTGAATTTGCATCCACTCCTAGGCTGTTTACATGGGTTATCCAAGAAAAGTCATCTTAATTTTGGTTTAGGCACCAAGAAGTAAGCAATTCAAGAATTACATTTACATAGGCGAGGACAAACGCAGTCCTTTCTTGGGGACTTTAGTCCTCTGGGTCCTGGCCCAGAGGTTGATGGCGAACACCAGGATCAACAAGGAACTAAACGCTGAACAGCACAGCTGTGCATTAAACATAGTAACAGTGTCAGTGTAAGGTGACTACAGGAGTTGAACTAACAAGCTGATCGCAGGAAGGAAGGAATTACCAACCGTTTTAGACCATGGAGAAGCCATTTAGGGAACCCAGTGCTAGAGTTACATCAACATAGACAGGGACAGAGTGACCCTGCAAGGAATCTCCCGCCCCCCTGGAGACACAGCCTAAAGTCCTGCAGCCATCACCAAATCAGACTGAAGAAAAGGAATTTGCAGCCCAAACTGGATAACAGAACATCAGCCAATCAAATCAGGTGGGCAGGGGAGACAGCTCAGCAGCATAAGCACCTGCCTGGCAAGCACAAGGTCTTGAGTTTCAGTCCATGTACCAAAAAAAAAAATCAAAGCAGGCACTGCCCATTCAGTCCTCAGCCATGTGTTGTCGTGCAGCCTCCGGAGTGGCAGATGCAAGGCTTTGCGTGTGTGGTCTCTTCAAGGAGTCTCCAGAGGATTTGCCTCATCAGGGCAGGTCTCCAGTAGCTGTCTGAATGTGCTCACTCAATCCTGTGGTGATGAATTTAGGGCTAGATCTCTGTCGATCAGTTTGGTGCCCTACCTGTCACTCCTGAGCAGCTGGAGTGTCAGCTCCCCGCCCCCCCCCATGAGATGGCCCAGTTGTCTGTGCATGCCTGTAGAGGTCCTCCTTATGCACCACAAACAATCACATTGTGTGTAACACCGCCCACTGGCTCATCTGCCTGTTGAGTTTCAAAGCAGTGTACTTCTCTACTGGGATGGACAGCGACTGCCATCCATTGTGGGGTTGGGCCACGGATAGCAACATCAGTATGTGCAGCAGCTGAAGGTCCCTCTTTGCTTTTGCATTAGGACCAGGGGTCAAGTCCTCTAGTCCATCCTAGACTGGGTTCCTGGGCCATGTTGCCTCAATCATGGGAACCAGAACTGTTGCCAGCTGCTTAGCTGAGAAGAGGCCCACTGTTGGAGGTCCCCAAACATGCAAGAGTGGGGGCTAGTGTCACTCCACTCCTGGGACAGGCTCTTCACATCTGTACCCAGCCCTGTTTGCCCCATGATTCCTCACAGGCAAGCAGAGCAGCACATAGCATTGCTGTTTCTCAGTCAGGGAATGTCAGCTCTCGGCTCCCTTCCACAGCTGTGATTCAAGCCTGACAAGGTGCTTCTCTTGTCCCTGTTTTTGCCATCAGCTTCAGCCAAATCTGCCCTCATCCACACTGATGTTAGGATACATGGCAGCCTAGGGCCAATGACTCACGGGGCCTTCACCTGCGCCACAGCCCTCTCGCCCTGAAAAGCACCTTCTGCTGCATCTCCCCAGCAAGCAGCTTCTGCTGTTTGCACTACCCCAGCAGGTAGCTCGGTGCAGTACATCTGCCGAAAACCTAGCAAGCCCGCATGTGCCTGTAGTTGAGGTGTTGTTGTGGGTCTAGTCTTACCCAGCTATCTAGCACCCAAAGATTTGTCAGATAATCCAGGTTCCTGGACCTTGCTGTCACTTAATTCTTGTCCCCATGCCAGCAAAGCTTTCTTCCGACTACACAGTGGCCTTCAAATGTGTAAGACAATCAGACTAATATAATATCACCAATGCAAAACAGTGACAGAATGTGGCCTGCCCCAGGTGGCCAGGTCCTGGGCCATCAGGCTGCAACACAAAGTTGGGCTATGTAAGTAGCCTTGTGTGGACATCTGGAAGGTCCACTATCTGACCTCTTGGGTGAAGGCACATTGATCCTGACTGCCACCATGTTACCTGGGTCTTGCGGGTCCTGGCAGACCAGAGGTCACATATAAAATTGACTATTTACTGGTCCCCCAAAGTCACTGGACCGTATACTGTGTGCAGTGTGCATTAATGTTGATCGATACCAGAACAGAAAACAACCCAGATTGTTTTACAGGATCTAACGCATACATAAAAAGATACAGAGGTCACTACATCATGGTCCAGAAGACCTAGGTGACTTTGGGGATCAGACACCCGCCCCCTGGCGTGTGTGGTGTTTGTGTCCCCAGTTGCTGAATACACATTAGGGTGGACACACTGACCGGTGCTCAGCTTGACACAAAGCAGGGAGAATTCCAAGGATGAGTTGGCGTGGGAAGAGCTAGCCTGGGGACATCCACACCGTGAACGTCTGACTCCCATGGACCACATGGGCTGCGTGCATGAAGCAGCACCAGCTGCCTGGGGAGCATGAGGACAGGGGACAGAATGTCTCCAAGTTAAAAAGCAGGCGTGACACTCGCGGCACGGAGCTCTCCGGGATGGCACACACAAGGGCAGGCAGGCCACGGTAATGACTATCAAGTCTCATCCTGACGCTGGCAGTCAAGACCAATTTGCTTCACTAAGGAGGATGATGTTGCCACAAGGCTACTGACACAGCACAACCTTGTGTCGTGGCCTGATGGCTCAGGACCTGGCCACCTGGGACCTCTGTGTCACTTTATAGTCACTTGCATGGCCTGTCTGGGGCTGATAACATGCAGGTAACCCCCAGCAGGTGTCCCAAATAGTCAGCCAAGCCAGCACCCACTCTATGAGAGGGCTCTGCAGTGTAGTGATTGGAGCCCCCACTTCATAAGTAATTATAGAGCCGGCGTGGTGGTGCACACCTGTATTCCCAGCAGTTGCGAGCCTGAGGCACTGTGAATTCAAGACCAGCCCAGGCTACAAAGTGGGCTCAAGGCCAGCCTGAACTGCATAGTGAGACCCTGCCTCAAACAGACAAAAAAAAAGTTAATATCATGAACAGGTTCAAATTTCCTATGATGAATGGTATCATCATGTATATTTAAAATAAAAAAAAAAACTTAAAAAAGCGCTGACCAAATAGCTCAGCAGATTAAAACGCCTGCTTAGGCAGACAGTGGCCGAGTTTGATCTCTAGGCCTGCCGTGCCTGCCCCGTCCCCAGGGTCTGCTGAGACAGCAATTGAGATTGGGCGTGGACTAGGTATGGTGCTGCACGCCTGTAATCCCAGCGCTTGGGAGGCTGAACACCGGTGGATCACTGAGTCTGATCTATGTAGTGAGACCCTGTACTAAAATAGCTCCCCCCCAAAAGTTATTATATTGCTACTATTTTTCATTTATCTTTTTGTTATATTTTCCTGCTGGGTGTGTTTAAGACCAAGATAAAACGAGACTTGTGTTCCCAGTTGTCTTATTTTATTATTTATTTATTTTTACAGAACTGGGGATTGAACTCAGGCACTTGCGCTTGCCAGGTAAGCACTTACTCTACTGAGCCATCTCCCCAGGGAACCCCCAGTTGTCTTCTATAGCTTTGATCTCTAAGCCTCAGTTGTTGGAACACTCAGATAAAGACGCTTGGGGGGCCAGGGAGATGGCTCAGTAGAATAAGCACTTCCCTGGCAAGCACAAGGGCCTGAGTTCAATCTGTGGCTCCCCCCTGCCCCAAATAAAAAGAATAAATAAAGACACTTTATTTATTTATTTATTTTTGTGGTACTGGGGATTGAACTCAGGACCCTATGCTTGCCAGGCAAGCGCTTATTCTACTGAGCCATCTCCCCGGCCCTAATTTTTTTTTAATTAAAAAAAAATTTATTTATTTATTTGGTACAGGGTCTCGCCACATAGCTTGGACTTGTAGCGATCCTCCGGTCTCAACCTTCCTAGTGCTGGGACTACAGGGTTGTGCCACCATGCCTGATTTCAGTGGACCACACAACATGGTGGTACTGGGCATCGATCCTGGGTCCTTGCACTTGACTATTTTCTTTTTGACACAGGGCCTCACTATGCAGCTCAGACTGGCCTTCAGCTCACTTTGTAAACCAGGCTGGCCTCAAACTCACAACAATCCTCCTGCCTCAGCCCTCCGAGTGCTGGGATCACAGGGGTACGCCACCATGCTCGGTGAGTCTCTTTTTCTGTCTGTACTTTTGGTACCATGTGTAAGAGGCCACTGTGAAATCTCCTACCACAAAGGCTCTCCTTTACATGCTGTCTCAGGAGTTTTGAGTTAATTTCTGCATATGATGTTAGGCGAGGGCCCACCTCATTCTTTTGGTTGTGGATACTCATTCCCAACATCACTCATTGAAATAACTGAATTTCCCTCAGCGAATGATCCCAGCATCCTTGTTGAAAATCATGACCATATGCAGAGCACAAGCGCTACGTGGCCATCAGGGAAAGGGCTCCTGTAGGGTACAGCCAGTGCATAGCCTTGAGAGAGACATTCAGGGCAGGGCAGGCTTGCCTGGAATAGAGGAACAGAAGACGAGATAGAGTGGGGGCGGGAGAATCCTGGAGAATCTGTGGGCCACAGAAAGAACTTTGCTTCTGCCCTGGACACTGCTGGAAGCGATGGGAAGGGTGTGGGCAAGAAGTGACATGATGCCATTTATATTCCTACCCTGGCTTCCACGTTATGAACAGACTTAAGAGGCCAGGGCAAAGCAGGAGATCCAGGGCCGGCCAAATAACTCAGGGGATGAAAGCACCTGCAAGCAGGTATAGGGGCTGGGGGTTTGATCCCTGAGACTGTCCTGCCCTACCAGCCCTGCCCCCAGGGCACATTGAGACAACAACTGAGACTAGGCATGGTGGTGTGTGCCTGTAATCCCAGCTCTTGGGAGGCTGTAAACAGGCGGATCACAAGTCCGATCTAGTAGTGAGACCCTGAACACCCTGTAGATCCTTCCCTAAAATAATAATAATAATAATAATAATAATAATAATAATAATAATAAATAGGGCCAGGGAAACAGCTCAGTAGAATAAGCACTTGCCTGGCAAGCGCAAGGGCCTGATTTCAATTCTCGGTTCTACCAAAAAATAAATAATACACAAAGCAGGAGATCAGGAAAGACGATATCCAAGTAGGAAAAGATGGGTCCTGGGCCATGGGGTGAGAAGAACATGAATAAAAATAAGCCAAGTACTCTAGATTGGGACAACAGGAGAAATGGGCATAACAGAAGTCAGAAAGATGCCATCCTGTGCAGATGCCTCAGGGAGAGAAGAGAGCCCCAGTGCGCCCTGCTGAAGAAAGGCTACTTATGGAAAAGGCTTCCTGGATTCCTTCCTCAGTGCTCAGCCACTCCTGTAGCCATGGCACAAAGGGGCCCAAGTGTTGACTTGCTGGCAAACCTGATGTCATTCACATGGTGCTGGCTTAACAAGCATGCTCAGTGTAATTGTGGGCATCAGGAAGGCTTCCAGCCAGATCCCAGAAGCACACGGAGGCCCGGCGGTACGCCCAAGGGCAGTGTGTAATGCGAGAGGCCACAAGTGCAGTGCAGACCCGGGAAGGTGAAGCCAGGAACATGCAATGTGAGGACAGCCATAGGATGAGCAACGTCACCCTGAGATAAGCCCTGTGGGCTACCGCCACCAGCACTGCTGTAGGTGAGGGGCTGCCCAACATCTCACCAGTTTGTAGATTTAAAAAAAATTATTTATCCACCTGCTTAGGCAGGCGCAGAGACCGGGGTTCGATCCCCGGTGTGCCGTGCAGGCCCCGCCCCCAGGGCCCACTGAAATGGCCACTGAGACTGGGCACTGTGGCATGTGCCTGTAATTCCACTGCTTGGGAGGCTGAAAACAGGATCATTACAAGTCCCAGCTGCGTAGTGAATCCCCCCCCCCATACCCTGTACTAAATACATTTTTAAAAAATTATTTGATACAAGGTCTCATTACACAGTTTAGACCTGTGGTGATCCTGTCTCAGCCTCCCCAGCTCTGGGATGACAGGCATGTGCCACACACCCGGTTTCAGTTGCTGGCACAGTGCGCTCACCCATGGTTCCAGGACCGGAACGCTATGCAGTACCAGGGACTGAACTCAGGTCCTTGTGCTTGAAGGCACTTAGGCTGCTGAACTATCTCCCCAGCCCAGAAATGAGATTTAATGTTTGCCCTGCTGAATTTCAATCTTGTTTTGGTACTTTTGGGGTACTGGCAATCAAACTCAGGATCTCATGCATGCTAGGCACTGTGCCACTGCTCTAAATTCCTAACCCCGCATCCCATTCGTTTCTAGCCCTTTTCTCCCTTTTGGAATGAGAACATCAGCCCCAAGTGTTTTGTTTTTTCTTTTGATTTTTACAGGGGCTCACAGTTAAGAATTTGCCTAAGTCTCAGGAAACTTTGGAGTTAAGAGAGCCACGAGGATTCTGGGGACTGTAAGAAAATGGACTCCAGGCCTATTGCATACAGATGCAGGTGAGCTGGAGGGGCAGAGGTGTAATGTGGCTTATACCCAGGGAAGCCCCTAGTCCCTCATGAAGTTATGGATGGGGTTGGGAGATGACTCAATCACTGGGGCCTGGTAGCCAACTAGTTAGAGGGTAGGTGGGCCCTGGCTTACCAGGAGGATCGTCCCTTGCCAGCTCCTCTGGGAACTCTGCTCGTTGTGTCACCAAGAGAGCAGCTTTTCTCCACTCAAGCCCTTCTACTGCAGCCTTGGAGCTGGCTAAGGCCTGAAACCTTTACAAATTGTGAGCCAAACTAAAGCTTTCCTTCTTTAAATTGTGCTAGCGTTTGTTCCGGCAAGGAGAGTGACTAAAATGTTTATGTTGAATTGTGCTATGACTTACTTTATACATTTCCTTCCTAGTGGAAAAAAAGTATGTCATAATTCTGGGAAACAAATTACTCACATATAGTTTTCATGTATTCTGGAGACTTACTTGTTCACACACTTCATGACTCAGCTAATTCCATTTTAGGATGGGGCTCAACTCACCCTGTCTCTGTGACCCAAAGTAGCTAGGACCTCAGGTACATGCCACTGCCCAACTAGCAATTTCTAAATACTTCAGACAAAATAAATGCTATCTTCCCAAGATACTCCCAAACAGGAAAATATTTACACTATGAACACAAGTGTAAAATTTCTTATGTGCTCACATCCTACGGTTTCTCCAGACCCTTGATGAGGGACACCCAAGTTGTGTGGTACAGGTGTAAGGAAGCAAAACCAAAGGCGCAAATCCAGAACGTTTCCAATGAGAACATAACTGTTCCTTCACAATGGTGACTCAAAACATCACCTATTTGTTATTTTCGTCCAAGTACATTTATTTAACTCTGGAACTTAGGGTTGATCATTCCAACTGGCAAGGTATTATGGTTTGTGTCTAGGTGTCCCCCCAAAGCCTCCTGCAGTCTTGGGGCGGCTTCTGGAATTTGTGATTACTGTGGGTGTGGCTGCTGCACCTGCCCTGAGGCAGGTAATTTGCATTACAATGTAAGGTGGGAAGAGGAGCCAGCTGCTTGAGCTGCTGCCACCCTCCCTTGTGCTCTTGCTCTTTGCCACCACCATGAAAGGTTGCTTTCTGCTCTGTGCTGCTCTGTGTTGGACCCAGCTGAGCATGGACTGAAGCCTCCAGTAACTGTGAGCTAAATAAACCTTTCCTTCCTTCATTTTGAGTGTCGGGTATTTGTCCCAGCAACCAGTAAAAAGTAACTAAGACACGAACCCCTCAATTGTGATGCTGTTTAAGCCTAGGTAGGAAGACACCCACACGGTTTGTCAGGACGTGTGCACACCATGGCTCTGCAGCCAACCAAGATCATAAACTCTGGACCAGTCACAATTTAAAAGGCCAAAGTTTGTGAAAGAAAACAAACCGAATTTATTGGTAAGAAAGCAAGGGACAGAAAGCCGCCCAACAGGATGCACATGGGGGGGCTTCAGAAAGGTGAATACCCACAGGTCCTCTGTACTCAGCTTTTATCACGTTTTAGGGGAACAGTCCCTCCTGGATAGAAACACCCTGATTGGGCCAAACAGACCCCAGGTTCTACAACCCTAAGCCAGGACACTGCTCACCTGCACACTCACTGGTTATGAGGGGCTTTCATACAAAGTTAAGGGAATACACAGTAACAGTGACCTAATATAGAGTACACATTTGTATGTATGCATATGGACATGTATCCTTATGCTCGTTTTAAGTAGTCACGCTCCCCTTGCCTTGCTAATTGCTCTCCTGTGAAGCTTTAACTTTTAGTCAGGTTAGCCAGAAACCTTGATAAAGCCTTTTCCTGCCCATCACTGCCCTACACTATCTTTGCTCCATCAACTGTCCTTTCCTGATACTCCCAAGCCTTTAAGCACCTAGTAAGACAATTCCACATTATCCATTAGGTCAGGCAAGCTCTCAGACCAAGTCAACGATATACTGTTAGTTGCAATGGGAAGATACATCTTGTTATAACTTAGGACCAACATAGTGGGTAGGAAAAAAAAAAAAAGCCTAGTTAAGATGGGGGCAGTAATTCAGGGAAATGTCAGCTAGACCAAGTAGACCTTTCTCTAAAATATCCAGCATCTTTGGTCATGGTGCATTTACATCCACTGTACCGGGAGTCAATCTCAGGACCTCACACACGCCAGGCAGGCGCTTATGCCACTGAGCTACCTCCCCAGCATTGTATACATGAATAAGGCTCACACAGGGCCAGAGCTCAGCAGACTAAAGCACCTGCTTAGGCACAGCGAATCTGCTGGGAATCCCGAGTGCCATGCCAGACCACCCCCAGGGCATGCTGAGCTGACAACTGGGACAGGGCATGGTGGTGCACGCCTGTAATCTCAGTGCTCGGGAGGCTGAACACAGGAGAATCAGTCTGATCTACAAAGTGAGACCCTCTATTAAATACATGTAAAAAATAGGCTCACATAAAGACAAGTAGATTTGGTTAATAGGTACATTCCCAGACTGACAACCTGAAAACTACTTGGGGCAAAATGGAAAGGTGAACTGCTATTCCAGATAAATTGCATATTGCTTCTGGCATTTATCCTAATGATAAAAAAGTAACTCCTAGATAACCAGGAACGTACAAAGTGCAAGGGACCACATTCATGCCAAATAACCTGGCTTGAGCAAACATCCTTATTGTCCAAACTGGTGAAACAAATGCAAAGGAAACCAGTTCTTTTTATTTGAGCTATGCAGAACTCTGGGGACCTGTTGTTCTATAGATGACCTAAGTTATATCACAGTAATCCCACTAAAAGAAAAACACTAGTGTCAAAAATACACTTAAAGCTGGGCACGGTGGCACATACCTATAATCCCAGCACTTGGGAGACTGAGGAAGTGTGTTCAAGTCCAACGCCAGCCTGGACTGCAAAATGAGAACAAGTCCAGCCTGAACTGGACTGTCTCACTTGCTGTCAGTTGTGCTGCCACTAGAGTTCTATGACTTATTGCTAATCTTGAAAGATAAAATTTCAAAGCTGAATGTGTACCACCTGACAACATAAGGTGTGGATTATACTACAGAATCCTACATGGCTACTTGGCTTTTCTTGCCAACATGTGCCTAGCTCTGCATTATCTGAGACTGTCACATTCCACCAAGCCTAGCCCAGCCCACCGTGACTTCTTAAAAATAAATACATTAAATCCTCATGGCCTCACCTCACAAGCTACGTTCCTGCCCTGGTACAGGTTCCTCTGCTGTCTGTATAGCTTCCTAGAACAGCCATCATGACCAACTTGGCAATATTAAGACACCTATTCTCCCTCAAAATACTGCCCCCAGCCCGCTTTCCACACTTCCTCCATTCATCTTGGCCCTTTCTGAAGACCTGGATGAGTTTTAACTGCACTGTTCTCAACTGACGTAAAAAATCAATTACATCAAAGTTTGAATGACATTGGGAGGCTGAGGCAGGAGTGCCTTCAAGTTTGAGGCCAGCCCAGTCCAGCACCCAGGTATTTCACAAGTTTGGGATATTGAACTCCTGCCTAAGCCTCCCAAGTGCTGGGATTATAGGTATGTGCCACCATGCCCATACCTATAAATGACAATTAACCTTGCATGTCATTCAAACTTTGATGTCAGTCAGACCCAGTAACTAAAGTCACACAGCAAAATTGTACGAGCCTTTCTGTTGGATGGCATGGAGCAACATTCACTGCTGTGACACTAAGTAGAGGAATTCATGAAAAACAGGCTGTTTTGGTCACTGGCAACTTGTGAGTACACATATTGGTCAGAGAGCAAACTGTGAACACTCACAGGCAGATGTACTTTATGGATGCTTACCTCGAGTAACAGTGCTGAACACAAAAACATAGTACCAATGGAGGGAGGCGTCTCACTCTGCTTGTGCAATCACTGGAGCTACTTTACCCAACCCTTCATTTCCACAGTAAATGTGAAACAAATGTGTACTTTTGTATTATGGATGAAAAAGCCTCAGATCAGCCCCTCCATTTAACCCTTATTGCAGAATCTTATAATTTACTCTAACAGGCTTAATCATACTACTTAAAAGACTGGGAATTATACTACACTGTAAGTTTAAACAAAGCTCCTACCTAGTGGGTGTTTGTGGTGGTGTCTCTAGGGTTATGGAGCAACAAGACAAGAAGAATACACTGGTTACAAACACTGGCTTTAAAGAGGTTGGCCTGAGCGCACCAGAACAAGTAAATCTGAGCACAGAAAAGGTATTACACAGTAAATGTCAAAATTAAAACAGGTCATTTTTGAGATGGGTCTTGCCATGCTACCTAGGGAGCCCTTGAACTTCAGATCTTCCTATTTCAGTCTCTGGGCAGCTCTGATTACTGCTGTGTCATGCCTTACTGAATCACAACCACTAACTCTCCAATTGGCAGGAGACTGAAGGTGAAAACAATGCGAAACATCTCAATAGGCTAAAGAGGACCTGGGTTATTAAAACAACGTGGGGCCAATCAGAAGGCTGGATCATCATTTTTTGTCTTACCCCGCCACACTCCAACGCAATAAAAAAGAACAGACCCCCTTCTAGCAGAGTTCAGTGAGATCTACACCAGATGCCCAATGTTTTCATGTGAAATACCTGCGTGCCGGGCCAGGTTGTTTTTGTTTGGTTTTCTTTGGTATCTAGTACAGTGTCTTCAGGATCTCCAGGGTCTCACTATGTATAGACTGGACTTGTAATGATCCTGTTTTCCGCCTCCCAAGTGCTGGGATTTCAGGCGCACACCACCACACCCAGTCTCAACCTCCTCTCAGTGTGCCCTGGGGTTCAACGCCAAGCCCCTGCATCTGCCTAAGCAGGCACTTTAATCCGCTGAGCTATTTGGCCGGCCCTGGACCAGGTTTTAATCTCCTAGTAAAACAAAAACTGTACAATGTAACTTTATATATTATCACCATAAAACTGAAGCTTTTTTCTCCCATATTATTTTATGATTGAGAATGGGGCTACAAAAATCCAGGGGAACACAGTAACTTTTTTAAATTGCAAGATCATAGTTCTATGTAAAGTGGACAGTTAACAATCACAAGCAGACATTTCTAAGAACATGCCACTCAGTTTTACAAATAAAGGCCTGAATATACTGCATCACTTCAGAGGCAGAATGATAACTAAAAGCAAGTTGGGGGCAGGGGCTGGAGTTGTATTTCAGTGTTGAGAACATGTGCAAAGACGACCTGGGGCTCAACACCTATTACCCATCCCCAAACCAGACAGAATTCCAAACCACAATTACTTGTCTAACATTCTCCCGCTAGTTCTGAAAATAATCTAAATGCAAAAGAACCGACCCTAATACACGTCAGTTCTCCTCAGACACATGTGGTAGCTAGAGTGAACATTAACTATCCCAAGGGGAGGTGGCTTTACCTGCTTCCCAATCTCTATGAACTTTCAATGAATAATGAAGTTTCTCTTTCTGGCATATAATTCAACCCAAGAAACACACTATCAGGGACTAATCTATAGAAAGACTAATAAGGTTAGGAGAAAAACAGTACTTTTTTGTGAACTGAATTGCACCAGCAATTTTTCTCTTTGTTTTCATTTATTTAACACAGTTCTCAAAACATTTGAGTGAAATTGGGCCTCCTTTGATAAACAAAGGACCTGAAAATATTTAAAAAATGAACAGGCAGTCTTCGGTTCATCCACGACACACATGTAGCGTTCCCTTCTCTTATCCTGTACTTTGAAGCACCCAGTTTTTTAATGGTTTAAAAGCTAGAAGAACAAGAGTACATTTGTGGTGGAATGTATTGTCATTTGCTGATAACTAGTTGAAATACCATTATTCCCTTTTAACAGCTTCAAGAAATAGCCTTAAGGCATACACGATGTGTAACTCTTTTCTTATTCCCTGCTAAACATAATACAGATTACATAAAGGCTGACAAATCCACATTTATATAAGCATTAAGCATTTGCTGCATTGAGAAACTTAGTTCTAATACTAATAGTACAGAGTTACAGAGCATATTTTTAACACTTAGTTGCAGGCATATTAAATATGGTTCATTTCATGGACTGAAGGAAAACGTGTATTTTTGCCTTTGAATTTACTGATAACAAATCTGAATAGTTTTGCTAAGCATCAATGTTAGAAAGAAAAATAAAAATCAAACTTTATTGTTGCTTTTGCCATTTGGTAGCATTTTTACACACAGGCTTCAATCTTCAGATTACCCTGGATTCAGTAGAAAAACCTTTTAAATGAAGTTTTTGTACAATAGAAACTTCTCAGCAGTCAAAATTTAAGACTGTAAAAAAATACATGCAAAACATACTTCTCTGAAAACACTTAACTTTGAACAAAGCACCGAACTACACAAATGCAGAATGAAAACAGCATTTCAACTCCACCAAAAGTAGTCATCATAAAAGGTGTAAAAGTCACCTAACTTCACTAGGCACTGTTCACTTTTTAAACAGACAATAAAAATATTGTCCACAAACAACATCCCAGCTCGATGGCAGGTTTCAGAAAGTCTTCATCTTCATGCTTTAATAGCGACCTGGCAAGAAGAACACAAGTATATTTTAATGTTAAAAAAAAAAAAAAAGTGACTATCAACTATGCTATCCTACCATTAACAAATTATAAAGACGTCCTTCCAGGGAGAAGACACTTCCACAGAACTGTTAACACTAAGAATGACGATGTTAACCAATAGACACAGCTCAGGAGTTTAACTCAATCTCAGAGGTAACGTTCTAACCACCTGAGCATTTTTAAAGTTCAGAATTTGCAAGACACCTAAACAAATGTCCAATGGTGACAGAATATCCTATAGTTGTAACCTTCATGGACTCACAGTGGGCATGAAAATTAGATTAAGACATAACTACCTGAATTTATTTACAAAAGGAAGATGCTAAGAAAGTCCTAGTATATACACAAAATCAAATCAAAATTTAAAACTTACGAGGTGAGTAGGATCGAGATCTGGAGCGTGATCTGTATCCTCCACGACTATAATAAGGAGAAGGCGACCGCCTTCTGTGAAAAAAAGAAAAAAGAATTGTCTATGATGTGATCATTGCTGTGGATCTTAAAAGGACCAATAAAACTGACTGAAGAGAAACAAGTTAAAATGCTTCTGATAGCACAAACTCAAAGTGCCTGCTGTGCCCGCCCCACCCGAGGCTTAGTTAGACAGCAATTAAGACTGGGTTTGGTGGCATGCACCTTGTAATCCCAGCTCTTGGGAGGCCGTCAACAGGCAGATAACTATAGAGTCTGATGTAGTAGTGAGACTCTGAACACCCTGTAGACCCTTCCCTAAAAGACTATAGGGCCAGGGAGATGGCTCAGTAGAATAAGTGCTTCCCTGGCAAACACAAGGGCCTGAGTTCAATCCCCAGTTCAAAAAAAAAAAAAAAAAAAAAGTAGAAGACTGTAAACTAACACTTTATCAGTTCCCTAAATTAGAAGGGCCTAATTAAGCTTTTAAAATTTACCATTAGGCACAGGAGGTAAAGACCTGAGAACAAAGCACATTATAAAGCTCAAGTACCCCTTATTTTTGGGCTTAACTTTCTTACTTATCTTAACTGAAATTTATAAAACTGTACTACGAAATAACCTATTATAAGCCAAATTAATTTCCATAAATATCGCAAACCCATTTTTACTGTTATTAACTTCAGTCAAGAGTGTTCTTATATTTCAAGAAATCTCAAGCAATTTTAAACTACCAAAGCATTAATAGGGCAACATCTTTGTGATAGTTTTACTTATTTGTACAGATTTAAAATTTTCTCCTGGCATACCTGTAAATCTGATCTCTATCTTGAGCAGCTCTCCATCCACCTCCTCCTCCACCACCTCCTCTGTAAAGACAGAAAAGCAAATTTTAGCTTTCTTTCTTAAAACTCCCAGAAAGCACAGAGAACACCCAATTTCTTACAGGTAAAGTAACAAGCCTTTTCTACAACCCATTAGAAAATTGCGTAGAGCTCTCTCTGGTGGCTAAACTGAGCAACGCCAGCATACAGAACACATGGCTAAATAAACGCCTCGCTGAATTTAGAGTAAAGATCTTTTAAACTTACATGTCTCCATAATCAGTGCCATTCAAAAATAATACGACATAAATATCACATTTCTTAAATCCCTAATTTCTCCACGAAACCTCATTGAATACTGAAAAAACAATAAACTATAGGGCTGGCCAGATAGCTCAAGAGACTAAGGTGCCTGCTTAGGTGGAGTGCAGCTGCTGGGGTCTGATCCCTGGCATGCCATGTTGGCCCCACTCCTGGGGCACACTGAGACTGGGTGAAGTGGCTCGTGCCTGTAATCTCAGTGCTTCGGAGGCTGAATACAGGAGAATCACTAAGTCTAATCTATGTAGCTAGACCCTGTATTAAATACAAAAAACGGGGCCAGGGAGATGGGAGATGGCTCAGTAGAATAAGCGCTTGCCAGCAAATTAAGGGCATGAGTTCAATCCCGGGTTCTGCCAAATAAATAAACTAAATACAAAAAAACGGTCCCACTGTTACACTGTGTTGAAAAAGAAAATGTTACCTTATCAACATATGCTATGAACATTCCTGTTTGTATTTTAGAATAATTACTGCGCAGAAATCTATACCAAGTTTAACACTACAACTGTACCTATTTCCTATTATAAAAAAACTTAGTACAGGGGTTGGAAATGTAGCTCAACAACAGTGCTTGCTTAGTGCGTGCCAAGGCCATGGGTTTAATCTCTTGTACACTCCACACAAGGTATAACTTTGAAGAGGTCCTCACATGAATTAAGCAGTTATTTTATCATGATATATCCCTTGCCAAACCTTCAAGGCCAAAGGCTGAATATAGTGCTAGCTTAAATTATACGGTGTAACACAGTGCTGACCTCTCTACATGGCTAACTCACCTGTATGATCTGCTATAGTAGTCCCGATCATCATAGCCACGGTCATATCCTCTGTCATAGTAATCCCGACGGCGAGAACTGCCACTACAAATAACAACATTATCTTCTTTTAAAATTCAAGTGTTCTTCTACCTTTTGACATGACATTCGCTATTGAAACCTGGTTCAGATATAATATGCTGCAAGGTGCATTTGGATCTTAGCAGAGTATTTATTACACTGCTCAGTCAAGTTCTAGGATTGGGCTTGGGCAAATGATGTTTCATGCTTGCAGATGTTAACTGAAAAAGACCATTCTGACTATACTTCTCACTACCACTGAACATTGTCTTCTCCCTTGTTACACCACAGATAAGTATTAAATATCTTAGCTTAGGAAGTGCATAGATCTTGACTTTATTGAAAGTCAATCAAGCCTATAATCTATTACTTGGGAGGCTGAGGCTGCAAGATGCTTAAGATCATAGCCAGCCTGGGAAATTCAGTTAAGATCCTGCCTCAAAATCAGAATAAAATCCAAGCAATTCACTCATCTCCCCTATTTGCAAAAGGAAAAGAAAAATAAAAAAACCTCACTGAGATGATACAAGCTTCGACTAAGGTTCTCCTTTATAGAATGTGGCAATTAATGTGTACTGTAATGGTAATTATAACTTAGATCCTAGAAAAAACGTTCCTGAGATTCATTCCTAAACCCAACAAAGTGAGTCTTACACAATGTCAAGTTTTTCTCTGTCTCTGGATATCCTAGTCTCTGAGCACAGCACTACAGTACAGTAAGCACATAGCAGCACAACTGTGACAGTGTCTGGCGGACACACAAACTATTTGTCATGTTTGCAACCCAACTGAGTGTAAGCTGGGGACTTGCTCTATTGTACGTGAGTGTTCTTCAATATTATATACTTTTTTTCCTTTTTGGTGGAACCGGGGATTGAGCTCAGGCCCTTGCACATTCCAGTCAGTCACTCTACTGAGCCATCTTCCTGGCTATATATACACTGGATGACAGTTGTAATAAAGTTCTCTTTCTTATTTTAGCATAGTAACTGTAACGCTTTGTTATAACACAATTTTAATTGCATGTTTTCTGTTGAATAGCTTTAGTCAGTTCAACAGAATAAAAATACTTTTTGATTTCTTAAGAGTATAATAAATGGCACACTGCATTTTCAATACTGGCAAACTTACTAGGTAGGTCTCCCCATGTAAATTCCTGGTGTTGGGGTATGTGGTCTTTTTGTTATAGAGAAATCCACTCTGATTCTACGCCCATCAAGTTCCATTCCGTTGGCACGTTCTTTAGCCTTCAAAAGATAAATAATTGTCATATACAGCCCATCCTTTAACAAGTTATGTCACCAATTATTCTGTTCCAGCTAAATGGACACTTCAGTTGAATTATTGTAATGTTGATCAAAATATAAGGGCGACCTACAAATTATAAATCAGTTGCTTCTCTTAAGTTTATCAAAAATGCCAATGACCCTTAAAATACTTGAATGACAGTATTTCTGGATCAAAGGCAATCCCTAGCAAACGAATCTGCAGGCCGAATCTGGTCAGCAGAACTATTTTTTTTTTCCAATGACCATAAATAAAAGAATACAGGTTAACTGTAACACCAAATGAGAATTCCACAAATAGTACTGATTAAGCCCAGCTCTTTTCCTTTCTTTATGGCTTTGTGGCAAGAATGGCAGAAGTAAATTGTCTGTGGAGTGCTGCTCTGGAAGCCTGAAGTTAAGATGAAAACAGCAGGAAGCTTTAACCACATACAGCACTTTTATCCTGAATATACAATGACTCAAAATATACATTAAAAGATATATATACACCCACACCCCATTCCAAAACCTTTGAGGTTTACATTTTAGTTAAAGGAATTGAGAGAGGGGATCTATTCCTTAACTTGCACAGAATTTGTTTCTAATTCTGATTTTTAAAAATCTTTAAACATGTTGAAGGGCCAGCCAAATAGCTCAGTGGATTAAAGTGCCTGCAAGCAGGCATGGAAAGGCCGGGGGTTTGATCCCCAGGCCTGGTGTGCCAGCCTTGTCCCAGGGGCACACTAAGAGGGCAACTGAGACTGGGATGGCTGGGCATGGTGGCGCAAGTCTGTAATCCCAGCTCTTGGGAGACTGTAAACAGGCAGATCGTCCAATCTAGTAGTGAGACCCTGAACACCCTTGCAGACCCTTCCCTAAAATACAAAATATAAAAATGTTTGAGTTAGGGTTTGTTTCAGTTTCTGGCACTACAGATTCAGACATATCTGTTCTTTTCAGAGAGCTCTGTCTTATAGCACATGTGAATTAGGCAATCTACAAACCTACACCATCAGTCATCTTGAGCAAATCCAACTTTTAGTTGAAGGATACCTGGAAAGGCCCTTTCAAATCTCAAAATTCCACATTATCCATTATAATTAGTTGCATCTAACATTTTTGTTCCTTGAGTCCTTTATTACTTCCTTTAAAAACCAGCTACCAGTCCCATTTAAAGGCTGAAAAATAAGTGCTAGGAATCCAATTTTTTAAAATAGAACATGGATTCACATAAATTTCACTTCTGATGTCTCAAACCCAATCAAAACCCTAAGTTAAGCCACTCATTGACCAATGTATACTTTTAAAGAACCAGTTCTTTTTCTCCTGCATCTACACTATCATTTTTGGTTATTTTCCATTCTAGAAAAATAACTTCACGTAAACATTGCTTAGGTATCCTGTATCAAATCCTCATGTTTTATTCATGTCAAAACAATAGTATGTTGGTTCAGAAAAAGGAAGTTGTTTTATTTCAAGATATAAAGAACTGAATTGGTACATTAACTGGCTACTGGCCATCAGCCACTGGAAAAGTGTCAGGTTACTCTTTTTATTCTCCATTGATTAAAATTTTTCTTCCGTTAAAAAAATGGGGGAAAAGTCCCTCCAAACAAAAACCTAACCCTGGTTTCCAAAGTAATGAATTTATATCTCTGCCCAGAAACCTCTAGGTTTTTTTTTTTTTAACTCAAGTAGTTACATATCCTATTTATAGCATAAAAAAAGTAATTGTCTTATCTAAACACTGGTTCATTATCACTTGGACATAAGACTGGTGCTTTTACAACTGCACAAATAAGCTGTTACTTACTTCCTTGGCATCGTCTACATTTTCAAAATACACAAAGGCAAATCCCCTCGAGCGCCTAGACTGCTGGTCATACACAATAGACACATCGGCAATTGGGCCATATTTAGAGAATACTTCTCTTAAATCTCTTTCTGTGGTATACAAGCTCAACCCAAACACTCCAAGACAACAGTTTGGGTCAGGATTCGCCTAGAAATAGAAAATATTATAAATTTTCATTCATAATAATACATGTTTATAGACCACAAAAATTACAAAACATTAAGTACTACAAACTCTTTAAAAGAAAAAAAAAATCACAAACAGGCTAAATCCAACCTTAACAACTAAAAAGTGAGAAACAGGTGCACTCATACTGGTGGAAAAGTGGACTTCAAATCCTATTTAATCAATCTTAAAATCTGCCCATTCTTTACAAGCATGAATATGGATAATCAGAAGAGGACAGCTGCACTAGCTAAAAAAAAAACCTATGCAATATTAAAGAGACATGTTCCAAGACACCCTCCCCCCCAATGGATGCCAGAAATCATAAGATAGTGCAATCCTACAGCAGTTCCTCAGTACTCACGGGAGATTGGTTCTAGAACTCTATGTAGATACTAAAACCTGTGGCTGCTTAAAAGTCTTTCATATATAACGTAAGACACATTTTCTCGTATACCTCACTACTACAGGGCAAAATGACAGTGTGTATAGCATGTACATAACCATAAGGTTCAATTCTTAGCACCTTAGATAGCAATAAAAGGAAATATTCACTATATTACTTACAATACCCACTCCAACATAATGTTACATAAATAATGAAAAAGATAATTAAAAATACAATGAATGATGGAAATTTCTCTAGCTGGGGATGCAAAACAAATGCCACTACAGGATGACCAAGAAAATGTTTTATATGTGGATTCCATACTGAAGGATTCAACTAACCTCAGATGCAAAGTATTTGGGAGGAGGAAATCCCATCTGCACTGAACAGAGACTTCCTATCTCATTTCCTGAACAATACAATGCGTACAACTTATGCAGCACTTCCATTGCATTACATATTTACTGACAAAATTTAACTCACAAATTAAGTGCAGTAAAACAACAGAAATCTCAAGAATGTGATCCACAGTTACTGAGTGACCAATAAATAAAGGTACATTAGCTAAAGGGATGATTCATGTCTTACCCAAGATAGCCCATGATTTCATCATGCTACTAGGGACTGAGTGGGATTTAGTAAAATTAATAAATTTATATTCTGGAACTTCTACTTAAATGATTTTGGACCCAAAGTCTCTGAAATCGCTATTAAAATGGAGCCACTACAGACAGCCAAATTTCATACATGCACACAACCCAATAGGATGTGTACCAAACCTTTCAAAAAAGGATTAAGCAGAGCCTTCACTGATACAAAAACAACCGTATTACCAATATTCCAATTTCCATAACAATTGACTAGGGAAAGTTCCAGTGAACTTTTAAATTCTCCCTATAAAAACTTCTTGGATTCAATAATGAAACCCAAATATAAACACATTAAGTACACCATCTTACTGGGAACTCTCAAAGTTTTAACATCTGAAACATATTCACTTAAAATTAAAAGGGAGAAAGTTAAAAGAGCATCCTATAAAGTTTATTTTAAAAAAAAGCCAGAAGGCATGCAGCTAAACACAGCAACACACTAGTATTTTCACAGTAGTGCAGCTTGGCAAGACTACCTCAAAACATAAAAAAGGGGCAGGGATACAGGTTACTATAAATGACCTAGGTTCTATTCCCAAAAGAAAGAGCAGAAGGTTCAACATCAATTTAGGGTCAGCCTGAAAAATAACTCATTAATTAACTTAGGCATTCTACTGCTTTGTAGTCTTCCCCCTCATCTTACCCGATTCCCAACATGACGCCTTCGAGTAGACATGGGGGAATGGCTGTGGCTGTGGCGTCTGCGATAATCACAACTGTAAGACCTGCTACGGGAAAGTCTATAAGAACGAGATCGAGACCATGACCTTGTATAATGCCTTCGAGAACTTCTTCTGGATCTAGACCTGTAAGACAAAAGCTTCAAGGTGAAGACCAACTAAAATAGACATGAATTCCAGTTCTTACTACTCTGAAGTTTAACTGCAAAATAGGGACACAAATCAGTTATGGTTAGCATGGTTAGCAATTAAATGGGGTCACTTGTCTTTTTTCCTATAATCATTTCAATTACATTGAGACAAGCTAGCCTAAGTTTTTCAAAAACCATACAACTCAATTAGTCTATTAGCTTTATGTACATCTTTCCCTTTCAGAATATCACCATTTGTTTCTCCCATTATGCCCACCATTCATTTAACAAAACTGCCCCAGTTTTTTTTAATCAAAGCATGACTACTGGCTCTCAGGATCACATAAAGCTGTCCCCTAAACCATCTGATAAAGCTGTTACTGTAATTATGCCAGACAACAGGCAGAAACTGGGAATGTCCCATGAAAATCAAGATATTTAGCCTTTCAACATTTTTTAAAAAGTACATTATGGTATTTATTGATCAATACGTACTATAACACAACAGACTATACCTACTTACCAAGAATTGCAGCTACTAAAAATCAATGTTCTGTACTATGTATTTCACATTGCTAATTAATTTACTTATTTCCAGTGAATCCTCACTATTACAGAGAAATGGCACTATACTTACTAACTCACCTTTTCTAAGTTAAAGTTGTGGAGAAGCTTAGTTTGCCCAAGACAGAAAAATAAAGGTAAGATCTGAACTTCAACTCCGAAAGCCAAGGCTCTTACATCATTTCTCCCACCAATATTAAATAAGCCAACACATGATCTAATTCTCCCTACTTCCTAGTTTTCAAAAGCACTGGCCAATTTCAGGGCCAAGAGCAAGTGATAGAAGAAAATCTCAAGACAAATCTTTCTTACCTAGATTCAGATCTGGACCTGGACTTTGATCTGGAACGCCTGGAATCTTCCTTGGAGCGAGACCTTGCAGGGGTATGCCTTGCAGATTTCCCCGATCCGTGAGCACTTCCACTTCTGGAAGCAGAACGGGATTCCTACACGTAGATGTCAAAAGTTTAATTTGTATACTTTATGGGCAACTTAAAAAAACAAATAAGCTGCTGGGAAATAAATGGTGACGGGAGAGCAATCTTCTTCCAAAGATAAGAAAATACAGGTAAGGGCAGGAACTGAGTATACCTGGAGTAGTAGTTTCACTGCTCCAAAAGACATATAAAGTCACTTAGCTTGTTCTTTCTTCCACCTTTCTGGAGCAGGCCTAAGAATTACCTGACCCCATTCCCTTAAGAAAGGGTTGCCAAGCAAAGTGCTTAAGGGAACTGTCCAAGGACTGTATTTCGGGTTTAAAGACTAGGGTGAGAAACAACTATAAAACCTCTACTTTATAACTATCAAGCTGCAATTGATAAAACCCTACAAAATCCGTAAACTTTAAAAAAATCCTTTAGATATTTTTAAGACCTCAAATTTTCAAACTATTAAGAGACAAGCACAGTGATATCAATTTTGAGTCCTAAAAAACAGAAAGTGTCAAGGATCAGCTAGATACCATATTCTTCAAAACTCTTGCCATCCAATGGACAGCAAAGCTTTAATAAACTAAAAAGCAATCAGATGAAACAATAACAGAAAGAGGCAGTAAACTGTGTAGAGATTGCCAAAGAGCCACACCTTCCTCAATTACTTGGAGTGGACCCAGGGTCATCTTTCAGAAATGGAGAAGAACACAACATAATCTCCTTATCTAGGGCCCAGGAAAAAGTGAGGTCAGGGACCACATGTAAAGACTGAGGACTAGATAAATACTGTAGACTCAAAGCTTTCTCTGTCAAACTGCAACTGGCAGGCAGAAAAGGGACACCAAGTGGGGGTAAAAATCTAGGAAGAGACTACCAGCAAAGGAGTGCCTAAACAGGATATGATTGAAGGCACATAGTTGACTAGCAGAAAAGGATCACAAATAGTGTAATAAAATCTGGAAGAAAGCTCTACAAAAGTACCAAAAGGTGGATGAAGGAGGGCAGTACTCACTCCAGTCTGACAGCTAAGCAAGTTTTCACCAAGACTAAAATAAGTGATACTACCATATTGTTGGTAAAGTTATCACTAGAAAGCTCTCCTTTAATTTTTCTTTAGAATACTCTGGCCAGTCTTGTAACAGCCAAGAAAACAAGTTCAGGTTTTTAGCCCCAAACAACTGCAGAGAATTTCAAAATATTTCCAGGTCATCATAAAACACGTGACATGACATGGAAAATGACCTTCCCTTCCAACCCTCCTCCCCTCATGGAGTGAACTAAAAAGAAATGAAAAAGGCATCCCTTTTCATTATGTTAACAATAAAGGCCTTTAATGCAGAGATATGATTAAAAGATGTATTACTGCACTCATGGCTCCAATTAACAAGCCCTTGGATTTCTCTATTCAATGCTCTGAACAGATATTTAGTTAAAAAAAAAAAAAACCCAAACCTCTAAACAAAGGCTCCGTATTTTAAAATGGGAAAAGCTAATCTAGAAAAAGACAAAAAATGAACTCAAAAGCCAGCTAAGTACCTTTACTACAGTGTAGAAAGCTTACTTCATAGAACAATTACAAGCTCTAAAGGAAAACAAGAGTTTTCTCAGGAAGAACAGACTAACAGTTTCTCAGAGGAAAAAAAAATTTAAGAGAAGCATAGAATTTGACCATAAAGGATGAGCAAAAGCGAAGTTAAGACCCTTTTCTAAGATTTTATTTAACAGAAAGCTGTGTTGCAAGCCGAGATACTTCACTAGTCTGTTCATTAGAAGGGAAGATAAAAAGTATACCTGCCCCAGAAGGGAGAAACTTAGCAAGGTTTTAATATTTGTAAAACCTGAAGTGCTCACTTAGCCTCCAACTCAGATACATTTTCTGAGCAATCATTTCTTAGACTAGGAATAAGAGAAACACTGGAATGCAAAATTTCCTTGCCAGTACTCCTACCTAGTTGGGCTAACATCTAAACACCTCTAACCTTCAATCCTATTATCAGGGTCATTTTCTTAAAAGAAGCCAAACACTGTTGCAGTTACGGTGGCCACTTAGCTGGTTAAAAAATATGCAAAGAACTTAAGTTTGTTTATAACAAGACCTAAAATGATTAGTCAAATTCAAAGTATAACATTTTAAACTATACGTGGATAAACTAAAATTAGTTGAGAAGGGAAAAAAGCTGGAAAAGCCTATATAGAGATACTTCAAATTCCACTCAGGGATAACAAAAGTTGTAAATGTCACCATAATAGAATCCTACCGAGAAGGAAAAAAACAAAAAACAAAACCCTGCTCTAAACAACCAAGGCTCAAAAGAACTTAAGTTAGCATAAACAAAAAACCCCCCAAAATTAGCTGAAAAAATACTCAGGGAAATCAGTACTGACTGGATCTTAGCCATACAATAATACCCAATCTACAAGAAACACATCAGGTTAAAATAAAAACACAAAAAACCAAACTGCCTCCCAACAAGGTATCTAATCAACATTTCCCAATTTTGAGTACAGCAACAATCTCAGAAACACTTACTTGAATGAAATAAAAGGAAAAATAACCCTCCAACTCATTTACTTTAAAAACTAGATGCAGTATGTTAAGTTTAGAAGAGCAACAGACTAGATTTAGATGTGGTATGCACTAAAGCTCTGTAAGCCTCTTAAAATTTAGAGCCCTAAATAGAACTCTACTTTAGTAATCCTACAATTGGGTGTTCACCATTTTTTAAAAGAACCAGGGAGATAGCTCAGTAGATTAAGTGTTTGCCTGGCAAGCGTAAGGGACTGAGTTCAATCTCCAGTTCTGGAGAAAAAAAAAAAGAAAACAAAACCAAACCAAAATACATGTGTGTATGCTGCTAGTTAAGACTCACTGACTCAATTTCAGAACTCATGTGATTACTATCAGATTTTTTTTTTTTCCACCTTGGCAAAAGCACCTTCCTGGCTGCTGCCTCCAGCATTTATCAAGTCCTCCTGATTAATTCAGTCTTCTCTGCCTTGGTGGCCTCAGGACCATCCCTTTACTTCTCAGACCTTCTCAAGGCTCAAATATGATGTGGCCAAGGGAAAAAACAAAAACACAAGTACAAGAGATGGCCAACTAACATGAACATCTTCAATGTAGGTCTACAGCTTGAGCCATACAGTCAGATCCCAATTACTTTCTTTAGCTTGCTTAGGGGACTAACGTTCTTTTCCCTTTGGACCCCAAGAATCCATGGGCTTGAGTAGATACTTTTACCTCAGATATGTGCTTGCTTTTTAAGTAACAACGCAAAACTAAAATTATTCATGTCTGGTTTATGGGAAGGTTTAACAAAGCAACAACTGGGTCAAAGTAAATTAAAAAAACTACCATATAAGAGTTTGTTCTCACTGCAAGGCAAAAAAAGTACAAGCTTCACACTTGGCCATAAAAAGTACAGTTCCTTCAAAAAGGCCAGGTCACTGCAATGAGTGTTTAAAGGCATCTTCACTTTAGGAAGACGTGCATGGCATTCTCAACTAGAGCAGAAGGCAAGTTTTCTGGTGCCTGATAATGGCTATTACTATGCTATGTGTGTGTCTTAACTGTGGGTAATACTATTACACCAGGCAGCTACTATTCTATTTAGCTAAAGTGAGACAAGAAAAACCAACTTTAGGGACTAATTTTCTCAGCAACCAGGACTAACAAACCAGGATAAAGCTGTTTATAATCTATGTATCTTTAACATCATTAAAGATAGCTAAACCCTAAACACTGTTAAAAGAAATGAGAATCAAGCACCTGCTACTAATAATGCACATTGAATTAACTGTCCTGCTCACTTGCATGACCCCTCTTCTAAAGAAAACATTTCAGCACAAAGTCTGAATTCAGCTGGAACAAACATTAAATAGAATGTTTGGCACCTAAGCATATAAACATTGGAGGGCCTATACCTAACTGCTCACAGCTGTCTACTACTCTACCATCTAGGAAAAAACCCAATGCTTTTAATGCCAAAAAAACACCTCAATGCTGTGCTTTGCTTGAAATTTTAGGGGCTTGGATCCATAACCATCTGGTGACATTCTTCTCAAAAATTGGAACAGAAAATATTCTATCCACATTGTTCAGTGAAGGAAAAAGGTAAATGCATTAAGAGTCCAAGGGGACTGGTACAAAGACCATCAGTTCCAATTTTGGAGGTACTCACTCATGACCCAGAATCACCAAAGTCAGATAAAAGGCCTAGGGGACAACAGGAGGCCAACTGATACCCATGGTGGAGAGAGCTCACTATGCCTGCTATTTGACTACAAAGGGTTATTTTTAAAGCTTTGCATTTCAATCATTAGACTAAGCAGTTAAAATTAGAATTACCTAATTTAAACGTTTCCCTTGGAAGGTACTTCTTTACCCTGTATATATTTTCTTCTATTAAACAAATAATGCATGCATGTTTAGCAAAATATACAGGGACACATAAACAGACTAGTAATTACTTAGCGTAGTGCTTTCTGATTCCAGATTACTTCTTATCTTAACTTCCATTTTTATTTCTTTTCTTCATTCTTCCGTTTCAAATTCTGACTTCTTTCATCTTCCCCACTTCACACAAATTGCTCAATATTCTATAAGTGGGACTTCTGGTCTGATAATTAGCATGCATTCTTTCTTTTATTTTTTCAAATTTCAGCTTCACTTATTCCTGAGCTTCAAATACTCATTTATAAAACTTGTCATATGACGACTTCCGCATTTTCCTTCTTCAACATTAACCTTAATAGAAAAAGAACAGGATGAAGAATATTTTAAAACTCCAGGATAAAATCCAGTGCTGAAACTAGAAAAAAATATCCCCTCTGTCGTTTTGGACTTAAAAAAAAAACCAAAAACCCTAGAATGAGCAGCTCAAAAAACCCAAAACTACATAGCTTTCTGTTGGCTCTAGTATGGTAATTTCATTTATCTACTCTAATTTATCATGCTTAAATTGAAAGTGAAGTGCCCACTGAACATTTACTGTTCATTTAACATTTTAAGAACTATTTACATTTCACACTTATTGTATTCAATAGAATATGTAAGTGTCAAAGCACAACTTTAGTCAAAAAGTGACACATTAATACAAAAGTGCAAGAAAAGCATGGACAAATTCAAATTCATTTGTACAATGATGACAAAGGCTTAGGGTCAAAGAGGTCTACAATATTATGACTTCCCAAAGTAGGACAATAGAATGTTATGGGTTTTTATATTGTATATTTAGAAGAGCACTATTAGACAATGTCAGAGAATCCGACAGTTTGGAACTGTACAGTTCAACCCACCCCTGGGAAACCTGCTCTAATTATGTAGTATGAATGCCCAGTTACTAAACTGAGAGCTAAACAAGTCAATTACTACATGGCAGAGGCTACAAAGCAGAACAAATAAATCCAACAGTGGTATTCTCAAAGAATTTTGTTGTAAAGTTTTTCCCTCAACAAAATATCAAAGTCTCCTAGATATTCAAAAGAAAAACTATACTTTACAAGGTGGCAATATTAAGAGAAAATTATAGCTCACCTCACATGAAGAATTTAGATCAGTATATTTTAAATATGCTGAACATACACATACTAATAATACTTCCTGCATAGAATATTCTAATTTTCCTTTTATCCTGCTTCTCCTCATATGATCTTTCATTTTACCAATCATTTTCTTTATAGAAAAAAAAATTTGAAGCTTAAAAAAAAGGGAATTTTTATACCTATCTGAGAATAAAAACAACCATGGCTACACTGGCCAAGTGTTGTGTTCCCTTTTAACAAAGTACAAGTATAATTCCTAGGCTAGTTGTAAAGTCAATTATTATTTATTCGGGGAAAAATTTTAAGTTGCTTTTTATTTAAGGGAGTCACAGTAACTGGTTTTCACGTCTATCATTAAAATATGTTTGCTGGCAGCACCAATGTAATCATGGAATCAGAATGCCCAAGCAGGTTTCCTTAGGCCTCCTAAAGGTTATGTAGATACAAGGGCTCAGATGCAGATGATCCTGGAATAGAGGCCAAAGCTCTAGATATACTGTTCCAACAGACACCTTCCTGCTACTATTTCATTATTCCTTTCCAACTTCTTCCTTCTATGTATCAAACACAAACACAAATTATCTGGCTTATTTCCACTTAGCTGCTAAAGGTCAAATGGCCACTTTTAAAGTAAATGACCAATGATTACGTTTAATGTTATGCATTTTGGTTCAAAGCCCCTACTTAGAAATATTCTTGTTCCACCATCAACACAATTTTTGTTAAAATGTTTCTAGGGACTACCACTGGAATCCATTTACCATTGAACATGTACAAATTGTTTTCACAGTTGCAATGTTTTTAATAAATGGGAGAAAGGTCAAGAAAAAAAAATCTTGCTAAGGAAAAAAACAATGTTCCTATTAGTAAGGACTATTTTCTGCATTCAAATCTACCAGAAGGATGGACAGGAAAAAAAAAAAAAAATCCTCAAAGACTGAATGAACAGCCTCTGCAAAAACACTCGACATGCCTAAATTAGCTGTAAGTTATATTTTTTAATATCAAATATCCTAGGAAACAGCAGACCCTTAAGTTTACATACAAAAAAATTCAGTACTTTTCAATAAAAAACAAGTATGCTTTTTGACTTTTTCTGAGGACTGTATTTTTACCTAACAAAAAATTTTAATCCAATATGGACCTCACCCAAGTTGTCATATTAGAGTTTACATTACAAAGGCAATCTGAAAACCTCCAAAACCCAATTCAAACCTCCAAAACCCAATTCAAACTCAGAAGACACTGATTTGCTATAGTAAGCTTCTTTGGCTGGCAGTTTAAAAACAATATAAAGTGATGACAATACCTAATTCTGTGTGGCCCTCCCTTCAAAATACTAGGTAGATAAAAACCACAGAAGTTCCTAAACATCACACCACTTAAGAAAACTACTTTTTTATATAAACCCAGATCAACATGAGGGTCAAGGGACATACAACTGTTGCTGTCCTTGCCATGGGCAAAACAGGAACTTAACTGTCAAAGTGTGTTCAGTATTAACATTTATCACTTGGACTTGGGAGTTTTACCGTTAGGAGGGGACAAGGCAACTTCATTAACATCTCATCTTCTGAAATCCTCTTCCAACATAACAAAACCAGCAATACTTACCTTGTACTTGTTTGTAAAGCCACCTTCAATCTCCAGACAACATCCACAATATTAAAGTAGGCTTACTTAAACCAAAGTAAAAATATTTCAACCTGGTTTCAACATTTATACCTGGCCAGAACAGTGATAAAAAACAAAGCCAAACTATTTCCTCATACGTCTAACTTTTTAAAAGAGGAAACTGGTAGATGCTACAATTTTTAGAAAGAAATGCTTTAGTTTTAAAAGTGAGAGTTTATATAGTTACACCTAACTACAAAAAACAGAAATCCCAAGATTAAGCAGGAGAGAGAAAATTTTAAAAGCCACTTAGTAGGTTTCTATCCAGAATCTATTCATCTTTTCAAAGAATAAAAGTGGTAGCCGGGTGTGGAGTACACCTGTAATCCCAGCTCTCAGAAGGTGGAGGCCAGAGGCCAGCTGTGTTGAGGTCAGCCTGGGCTACAAAGTGAGTTCAAGGCCAACCTAAATTATATATGGAAACCTGGTCTCAAAAACATAAAAGGCAAAAAAAAACAGAATAGAAAGTGCCTTCATCACAAAACAAAGTGTACACAAAATAAATAGTATTCTGCTGGAGAATCTGCTGGGTCAAAACAAAACTGCTAACTGTAATCCTGAATTATCTTTAATAAACTTAAAACATCTAGCCCATACAATTTTCCTTAGTTTCTGGATTCTTAAGGTAGGCTCATTTGTACAAAATAGTTATGAAGGGAAGGAAAAGCACATGGAAGACCAAAGAACACCCAAACTCCACAGGTCTACCTGACAATTTGGGATTTTAAAGAGTTATGTTTTTGAATTGTAACATGACAAACTGCTAAGAATGTCTCTTTGAAAGAAAAAAAAAAAAAAAAGAAGAAAGTAAGAAAAGGTACTAGTCAACTCCTTTACAAGATATAAGCCACTTTTGGAAAATACGGAGACATGAATCCACAGATGAAATGAGATTTTACTTTGTATATAGCTTGGTCAGATTAGGGAAACCAACTAACTTTTACTATAAATCAACTGTAAAGAACGCTAAATCCCACAGATAAAGATGAGGAAAACACAATGAACCACAGTTGTATCGCTATTCATCCAACACTCTTTGTGACCACACTGATACAAAAGAAACAACTACTCTAAAGGGGAGGAAAACGCAGTAAGTTATTTACTAGACGGACAAATGAGGTCACACTGGACAGATCTGTGCGTTTTCAATTAACAGTTCAGAATGTTTACAAGCCTAGAGATAAATGAAATGCTTTTTGCCAGGCTCCAGAGACACTATATCAGGTATATTCAGATTACTGTCTGGAGCATTTTAAAAATTCCTTTGAACACAAGCACTTTCAAAAGGGAAGATTAGCCGGGAGTGGTGGCACAAGCCTGCAACCTCAGCACCGTGGAAGTTGAGGCAAGCCTGCTGCCAGACTCAACTGTAGTGAAACTCCGTCTTAAAAAAAAAAAAATTACGAAACGGAAGGTTAGCCAATCAGCCTCCTTAGCACGATTCTCTGCCTTACGTGTAAAGCGCAGGAGCTTAAGCTATCCTGCATTATTTCTAACCACAGAACTTTATGGTTCTTCCAAGCATTATTAGTTTTAGATGTTTTCCTATCATGTAATCGTTATACGTGTAAAGCAAACAGCCGCTACCAAATAACACTATTTCTTAACTACAAAATTTGGAAATCTCTTACAGCAAGTCAAATTGTGGGCTGACAATTTCCCTTCAGCTGGGTCAAATTGAGACGTACTTTCCTCATTATAACATATGCTTTATTTAACCCTCCTTCGAAAGACTAATTTTATGTTTTGTGAGGCGGTTCCTGCTATATTGCCCAAGCTGGCCCCAACTCTTTTTTTGGCGGAACCGGGGCTGAACTGAGGTCTTTGCGCTTGCCAGGGAAGCGCTTATTCTACTGAGCCATCTCCCTGGCCCTTGAAAGACTAATTTTAAAACATTGTGCTTTCCCAGGCCAAACACCAACAAGCTTCAACACTATATTCAAATGGCACCGGGGGCCTGGCCCTAGCTCAGTTTTTTAAGTGGCTGCTTCCACAAAGCTGTCAGCCTCAAGTTGCTGTAGTTCGATCCCCACAACATTCCAGCCAGTCAAACCTGCCCTGAAGGCATTCGGAGCAAAAAAATAAAAATAAAAAAAATCCTCAAATGGCACCAAGTTCAAAACTCAAATCAAATCCTTAACGTAAGAAAACTGCGTACGTACTGGGGACAAGGAAGTCAATCATGGGGGAGGGAAGTACAACCTAAAAAAAAACAATATAGGTCTGCATCTATAAAAGCAAGGTCTGGGCGGGGGAGATGGCTCAGTGGAATAAGTGCTTCCCTGGAAAACACAAGGGCCTGAGTTCAATCCCCGGTTACACACACATACACAAAAAGGCAAGGTCAGATTAGCTTAATTTGATTTAATCAGATTTGGCGCCAAGTTTACTAAGGTACCAGAAGCAAAATATTGTTTTTTTACGGAACCACCTAAGATCTTTCAAGGTACAAGTTTGCAAGACTTTGCCTCGGGGTGGCCCTAATGTTGTTAGGTAAAACTTGACCTTTTTTACTAAGTTTCAAACATCATTTCTATCACCTCTACGCTAACAAATTTTCCTTAGCCTCCGAATATTTTATTTTTTATTTTTTAGGTGGAACCGGGGATTGAACTCAGGTCCTTGTGCTTGCCAGGGAAGCACTTATTCCACTGAGCCATCTCCCCGGCCCCACCTCCGAATATTTTAGCAAGACCCATATTTCGGATCTTCATTCGGTGCTACCCGGGCACAAGACTCCGAGCCCAAAGGGAAGTTACTACATTTAAGTTTAGGAACCGCTCAGCCCCGCAATTTCTGCCTCTTAATCCCGAAATTCCATCTTTACGTGGAAACTAAAGGCGCAGTAGAATCGCGCCTTAAGGCTAGGATAAGACAGCATTCAAACAAAGAAAGCAACGGCGCCAGTTGTTGTTGCCCGCCAATTCCTCCTCCACAACGCCACGGAAAACCTGCCGTTAATCAACCTCGTGATCGACTCTGACACTAACGGTAACTTCGGCCCAGAAAGCCTTTGCGACATTGAAACACTCCACGCGGGACCAACACAAAGCCCTCCTGCAGTCGCCTCCGACTGACGGGCCAGTACGCGGCAGAGGCTCAAGAAGGCCCCACCATCCTGTGAATCCTATCCCCTCTAGGCCCGAGAAAATCGTCCTCCGAACACCGGGGGGAAAGCCGCCCTCCGCCGCGCGGCCCGGGAAGCGCGGCCACAGAGGCCCGCGCGCGGTGACGGGCGGCGGCTCCGCCATTTTGTGCCGCTGGCGGCGCGCCCGGCCGCCAGCTCAAGATGGCTGCGGCGAGGCTTCGCTGGAGAGCAACGGCGAAACCAGACACCGCTCCCCTCCCCCACGCCGAGGGGACTCAGCGGCCATTTTTAATCTTTCCCCCCTCATAACGGAAGACAGCCGACTGGAGGATCAAGCTCCGCGAACCCGCCGGAGGGCTCATTCACGGCTAGAAAAGGCATTTCCTACAAGGGCATCCGGACCCGGGCTCCCATCCCTCCTGGCTTCACACTTCGGAGCCTATACACCCCCGACTCCCAGCCCAGGCCGATAGGCCTAGGAGATGCCAAACCTTGGGACCACACAGCCGCCCCCTACGCCTGCCATCCGTACCCGCTCGCCGTAGTTCTGCTCGCCGCTGTCGCTCATGACTCCGGGTTCGACGTCGCCGCTCGCTGGGCTTCAATCGAAGCTGCCAAGCTCTCGCGTCTTCTTTGGAGGCTTCGCCGCAGCCTCTCAGGACACGCCGGTTGCTGAGTCGCTCAGAGACGAAGCGCTCCGCACCACCTCCGCAAGGGCTCTAACTCTACCGGATGTGACGCGCCGCTCCTTAACTGGCTCCTCCCCCTCTAGAACGCGCGCTTTCTTGACCCCGCCCCCCCGCTCGCTTTTCCATACACAGTGGTGCGTCCAGAACCGGACTGACGTGGCCCCGCCCCCTCTCGCGGCCCCGCCCCTATCTCTGGGGCTCCTTGAGGCGGGAAAGCGAACCTCGGCGGGCTTCGGAGGTGGTCGCCGCGCAGCGCAGTGACGACACCAGCCGCGCCTGAATCTTTTCTAGAACTTTCCGCGGTAACCGTCCGGGGTGGGAGCAGGCAAGAAATGGCCTCCGTTTCCCTCATTCTTTCCTCTTTTTTTTTCCTTATTACTTTGTCTCGTTTTGTGCTTTTCCTGGAATTGAAGAGGGTAGCTATTCATATACTGGGTTCCCACTTTACTTTGCATTTTAGTCTTGTTGCACAGCTCCTTTCCTTCATTTTATTTTTTAAAATACCAGGTCTTTTAAAAAGAAAAAAAAAAAAGGTCTTTTACAAAAAATTAGACACAAAGTCTTTTGAGAATAGTTGTAGTCTAGCAAGCGAGGACTGTTAAGTACATACACACTATGATTTTTAATGCTAGAGACATGGAAAATTGCGGTTGTATTGCCAAAAAAAATTTTATTTATTTATTTATTTTTTGCCATCAGCCACGATCCCAAACTTGGAATCACATATGTGACCCTTCCACGCTTGAGTGCCCCCAAACGTTTAAAAAAAGGGGGCCGGGGAGTGAGGAACTGGTTAGTCAGGGACTCTGATACTCATAAAAGGCAACTTGATTATTATAATTTTTTTTTTTAAGAAAACACCTTTATTAGGCCGGGTGTGGTGGCTCAAGCCTGTAATCCTAGCACTCCGGAGGCTGGGGCAGGAGGATTGTTGTAAGGTCGAGTCCAGCCTGGGCTATAAAGTGAGCTCAAGGCAAGCCTGAGCTGTATAGTGAGACACTGTCTCAAAAAGACAAAAAAAGTCTTTATTGGTTTCAAGTAGTAGTTCAGTGACAGAGACTTGCCTAGCATGTTTGTGGTACCTGGGCTTAACCTTCACTGTGGCAGTTAAAGAATAGCTTGATTCAGGTGTAACTCAGAAAAAAGGAAACATTCCCCTTGAAATGTACAATTTAAATGGTTTTTAGTGTGGTCACAGGATTGTACAACCATCAACGTGATTTCAGGACAGTTTTCATCAGGTCCAAATCTGGATTCTTTAATAATCTTTTCTTTCTTTCTTTCTTTCTTTTTTTTTTTTTTCTTTTGTGTCTTTTTGAGACAGGATCTCGCTATGCAGTACAGGGTGGCCTTGAACTCACTTTGTAGCCCAGGCTGCTATTGAGCTCACAGCTACCCTCCTGCCTCAGCCCAGCCTCCTGAGTGTTGGGCGGATTGCAGGCATGCATCACCATGCTCAGCTCTTAATAGTAATTTTTAACCCCTCAGCCCTTTCTGCCCTCAGCAGTTGCATCTATTTCAGTTCCTCTAGATGAAACAGCCCACCGAGCATGGTGGCACAGTCCTATAATCCCAGTGCTGGGGAAGCTGAGGTAGAAGGATCACTGTGAATTTGAGGTCAGATTGGGTTACATGAGTTCAAAGCCAACTTGAAGAACATAGCAAGACCCTGTCTCAAACAACCAAAAGGGAAAACCCTACAAATGAGAGAAGTGCCCCACTCTTCCCAGCGTCCCATGTGGAGGGGGCAGGGCTTGACCAGCCCCAGCCTCACACTTCTGTTTGCTTCCCCTTGCTCTCCTGCGATGGGCCAGGACAACTTGATTCCAGGTCCCCTCTGGCTATCTTGTCCTCCCAGGTACCTAGCAGGCCATTCTTCTCTGCACCACTCCAACACAGGAGCAGGTTTCCACTTCCTCTGCCCTCTCTGTAGCCTCCTTGAAGAAAGGAGGTGGGGGATACCCTGGTGCAACTAAGGCCAGGGAAGAAGAGATCTGGACCCATTGTTGATATCCCCACCCCCCGCAGCTGGCCTTCCAGAAGATTCCTGGGTTTCAGCTCTCCCTCCTCACTGGAGGGCTGCTTTGAGGGCTGAGGCTGTCCTGGAACCCTGAACCAATCACAGGCCTGCAGCTGCTGTATGAACAGCACTCCCACAGTTGTATCCCTTTAGCCTAAGAGCACTCTCTCCTGAGTGGTGACTGCCTGCTGGAGCACAGGCCCTGTTAAATAAAGAGTTGCTTTGGTGGTCCTGTAAAGCTGCTCGAGATTTGTTTCTCTCACATAGTGTGAGCTCCAAAAGTCCTGAGAGTTGTTTTCAAAAGAAAGAGCAATAAATACTAAGGACTCAGCACTGAAGTGCTCCCAAGATCAGCAGCTGGCAGTGTCAGCTGAGGCACCCAGCATTACCCAGTGTCATCTGGTGCCGTCAGGACTCAGAGCATCTGGATGGAGCAAGAGAACCCTAGGTTGGTAAGAGAATCACTGCTCGTGCTTACTTTTAGCTGGCTTCCTTGGCTCCATATATGTTTCAAGGTTCATTCCTGTTAAAGAATGCACCAGGAGCTCATTCCTGATTGTTCTTAAATTATGTTCCAGTGTGGCTATTTCACCTTGTGTTTCTCCAGTCATCATTTGATGGACTTTAGGTCTTCCACTTGTTTAACTCTTACCAGGGAATTAAAAAGGATACACAATGAAAATAGTTCACAATTTGAAGATCATCCAGTGCTCACTGACAGCTATTTATTGTTACATATTTTGGGTAGAGGAGGTTTCAGTGAAGTTCACAAGGCATTTGATCTAATAGAGCAAAGATATGTAGCTGTGAAAATTCACCTGTTAGGTAACAATTGGAGAGATGAGAAGGAGAATTACCACAAGCATTTAGGTAGGGAATACCCTATTCACAAAGCATTGGATCATCCCAGAATAGTTAAGCTGTATGATTAATTTTCACTGGACACTGACTCATGTTATGCATCTTTAGAGTACTGTGTGGGAACCAGTCAGGACCTCTCCCTGAAGCAGCACAAATTAATGTTGCAGAAAGAAGCCCGATCCATTATCATGCAGATTGTGAATACTTTACTTAAGTGAGATAAAACTTCCCACCATATGCTATGATCTCAAGCCAGGTAGTATTCTTTTAGTAAAGGGTACAGTGTGTGGAGAGATAAAAATGACAGATTTTGGTCTTTCCAAGATCATGGATGTTGACGGCTGTAATTCAGTGGATGACATGGAGCTAAGGTTAAAAGAGGCTGGGACTTACTGAATGGCCCAAGGACAATGGACTCTCAAGAATTAAGGAGTTGTGAAAATCAGGGTGGAAAAACCCACAGCATCCCATGATATCTGTTGTTATGGTTTGTGTTTAGTTGTCCCCCCAAAGCCTCATGCAGTCATGGGGTGAGGGTTTCTAGAGTTTGTGTTAACACATGATCCACTGGGATTATGTGTGATCCAAGGCTGGGATTATGGGTTTTAGTACTGCTGGGATTAACCATAGGTGGGTAAATACTGGGAAGTACCCATAGGTATGAGTACTTCCCCTACCCTGGGGCAGGTAATTTGCATTACAATGTAAGGTGGGAAGAGAAGCTAGCTGCTTGAGCTGCTGCTACCCCTCCCTTGCTCTCTTGCTCTTTGCCGCTGCCATGAAAGGTTGCTTTCTGCTCTGTGCTGCTCTGCCTTGGACCCAGATGAGTATGGACTGAAACCTCCAGTAACTGTGAGCTAAATAAACCTTCCCTTCCTTCATTTTGAGTGTCGGGTATTTGTCCCAGCAACGAGAGAAGAGTAACTAAGACATCTGTATAGGAGAAAGTATTTACCACCAGCTTTTCGTGGTTGGGAAGGAACCCCCAAGACCTCCAAGTTGGTTCTGGTCAGTGGGTGTGATCTTCTGCCAGTGTCCTTATGGGAGGGAGCCTTTTGGCCATAGGGCATTCTACAAGAGAACACTATTCTTAAAGCTACCCAGGTGCAGTTCCCGCAGAAGCCAGCATAACTTCTGGAGCAGAGACATTCATCCACCGTACATACCTGGCCTGTCCAAAGGAGGCCAGGATTCCAGCTGTTGGCCTTGAGCCTACTTCCAGCCTCCCATCTGAAAGTCGGTCTCCACAAGTAGCCCTGCCAGAGCCATACTGCACCAGCCTCCAGGCCCTCCGGTAACAGCTCTTCAGATTGAGATCCAGCGTCAAGCCACAGCCTGTGCCACACGCAAGGTGGACAAGCAGCACTCAGCAGTGGGCTTGGAATCTGGAGACCTGGAGAACCCGAATGGGTCTCAGGAAACCTATGGCAGCTGCTTGTGCTGTCTCGCTTGACAGCATAGAGCATGACAGCATGGATTCTCGTTGAGATACCTTGCGCAGTGCGGGCCAGGCCTCCCACCCAAAGTCTCGCATTGGTGGCCACTGTGTGGAAGAGGAAATGAAGAAGAAAAACTGATTCCTTGAACCATGAACTTGAACACATGCAGACTCCGGGGCTTCCCTCATGAAGAATGTGGACGTGAAAATGCGAACTAGGCTAGTCCAGTGTCTATAGTTAACCTTACTGTTTTCTTGCAGTAAGTTTAGGTAACATCTCCTGAGAAGCTTGTAGCACGAAGGCTCAGCTGGGGATGGTGTTTGCCTTTGGGGGGAAAGACTTGCTATTGCCCATTAAAGGCATTGGAGATCGTGTCTTATCACTAAATAATTTCAATTTTTAAAAACATGCAGCTTCCCTCTCCCCTTTTTTAATTTTGAAAGAATACATTTGGTCATGAAGTCATGCTCCGATTAGCAAGTGCCTAGCAATGCTCATTCCAGTCAGATGCAGCTCTCAGTTGTCTGGCCGCTTGCTGTACTCGTCCCTCATCTCAGCGGGGGAAAAGATGGGGTGGGAAAACTTGGAGCTGTGAAGACTGCGGCTGGGAGTCTCTGGGTTTTCAACTATTTCTTCACATTTTGAACACTTGACAGTTATCCCTTCAATTCATTTGCAGTGCTATTTTTAAAATATTCATCTGTCAAAAAAAATTAACATGCGGGGCTGGTGAGATGGCTCAGTGGTCTAAAGCACCTACTTAGAACAAGCTAAGCCAAGCAAAGCAC